TTCCAATGGTTTAGTATACCATTAGAAGTGAACCTGGATTGATCAGTTCATAGGATGTATGGAAAAACTGCCTTCATCAGAATCGACATTTGTGAAAAGAACGATAGACGCCTGTCATATTCAGAGTACCGAAGTCGATGGACAAGATGAAAGCGATACGGCTTAAAATTGTAAGTCTTGAGTAGATCTCTATTTTTTTAATTTTTTTATTTTATTTTAACATACAGTAAAATAAATATTTAACTCGGTTCTTTTTGTCTTATCTTTTTTTGACCAATTTAAAGCCAATTTACCATTGCTTTCAGCGTAAAAAGTCCTTTAAAATGATGTGTCAGGATAAGCAGGGTGTTTGGCTACTTGTGTTACAAACTTTGCCAGTGGATTTTACATTCAAAATGGAACCAAAAAAGTCCTAATTGACTACGGTCTGAATCTCAACAGTTTAGGAGTTATTTAGTTATTTCACTTTTTCTGATTTTTTAAGATTTCACGACCTTGCTTCAAATAAACAATGATAACTCCAAAACTAAAAGGTTTTTGATAAATCCGATGATACCATTGAAAACTGCATTAAATTTCCAATAAGATGTCATCAATACTAAACGTGCAAACCTTCGTGAAATAAGCTTTTTTTCGGAGAAAAATTATACAGGGTACCACAAGCCCAGTTCAACGTCAAAATTTCAAATACGACACTATACAGGTGTTCGGCTAATCATGATACAAACTTTGCCCGTAGGTTCTACATTCAAAATGGAACCGAAAGTCCTAATTAACTTCGTTCCGAACCTCAGCAGTTCGGAGTTATTCCACTTTTTCTGATTTTTTTTAAGATTTCACGACCTTCCTTCAAATAAACAATAATGAATCAAAACTAAAAGGTTTTGGACAAATCAGTTGATACCATTGAAAACTGCGTTAAATTTCCAATAAGGTGTCATTAATAGTAAACTTGTAAACCTTCGTGAAATAAGTGTTTTAGTAGCGAGAACATTGAATCTTTTTTTCAAAGTTGAAAAACTTACTATGGTGATTCTAAACCACTATTTACAAACCTAAAGACAAGGAAATTTCAGAAAACTTACTCCATTTAATATCCTTTTTAGTGTAATTAATTTTAATATACTTTTTGTAATTCCTTTTTTCAAAGATGAAGAAATTGATGAAGGAAAAGAAAAAATCGTGGTTGAAGGATACGTTTTCTGAAATTTCCTGGTCTCTAGGTTTGTAAATAGTGGTTTAGAATCACCATAGTAAGTTTTTCAACTTAAAAAAAAAGCAAAATTCTTGCTACTAAAACACTTATTTCACGAAGGCTTACAAGTTTAGTATTGATCACACCTTATTGAAAATTTATCGCAGTTTTCAATGGTATCAACTGATTTGTCGAAAACCTTTTAGTTTTGGAGTTAGCATTGTTTGTTTGAAGCAAAGTCGCGAAATCTTAAAAAATCAGAAAAAGTGAAATTACTCCGAAAATGTTGAGATTATGGCCATAGTTAATTAGAACTTTTTGGTTCCATTTTGAATGTAGAATCTACGGGCAAAGTTTGCAACAGAAATAGCCGAACACCCTGTATAGTGTCGTATTTGAAATTTTGACGTTAAACTGGGCTTGTCGTACCCTGTATAATTTTTCTCCGAAAAAAGGTAAAAATGTGAAACTAATATTAAACACTTTTTTTATAGCGTCATTAGTTCAAGACAAATTCAGCCAGATCTAAAAAGACACCCTTTATTTCACATCCCGAATATTATTACATATACATCTTACATGTTTATTGGGATGAAGGAGAAAAACAATGATATTGTTTATCCAAGGTAATTTATGGAAAGTTGAAGTACAATGCTGACCACAATCGTAGGTTCTCCGTGAAATCTGCCCCCCTTTAGTACAGAAAATCATACCAGAAACAGAATTATTTTTAAAAAATGAAAAGATCATTTGGGCGTACGAGGAGTAATATTTATAACACTCTGCATTATACATCACTCGTGAATAGACCAGGTTTGAAATTTTACACTGTATATAAGTATTACAGCTGGGGTTCTTTTTCACCGGCATATAAATAATAAATTTTCCTATTAATAAAGATTGTTTTGAAATATAAAAGAAATGTGTGGTGATTAGTGACCGTTAATCGATATTTATTTAGAAATCGTGAGATGCTGTCTGGTGTGATGTAGGTTTCAGAAAAACATTTTCTTTATCGTGCCAACGTTTCGATCTTTAATGAGATCATCTTCAGGGCCTGGGATTTACAAACAACTTTTCCACATCCAAAATGTAATTGTAATATGTAAACAATGTTTGTAACTCCCAGGCCCTGAAGATGATCTCAATAAAGATCGAAACGTTGGCACGATAAAGAAAATGTTTTTCTGAAACCTATGTCACACCAGACCGCATCTCACGATTTCTAAATAAATATAAAAGAAATATTATTTATCAACACCAAACAAAAAGACAAAAATTTATTAACACACATATTCGAGTAAAACTAACGAATAATGATTTTTCAGATAACATTGAAAAAAAATGCAGTTTATTAATAAAACTTTAAAATGAGTTTTTTTAAGTTGTTGGAAATTGCCATCAAGAATAATTTTCACGAGACAATAACTGATCAACTTGTCTCGAAAATTTTCTGAATTTTAATCAAAAGAGTGCAATAATTAACATATTACGTTGTCAGACGATAAATCCAAACTGTTTATTAAATTTCGTTAATATTACCGAGTTTGCCCTTCCATTCTAAGAGTCCATCTTGAAATTATGCATTCTACCAGGTCAAGTCAGTTTTCGTTTGTTAAAAATGTGTTTTGATAAATGTGAACGTTGGTTTGAATTTCAATTAATTAATCATTATGTAAAGCATTGGTTGAAATGAAAAGCTAGTGTCACGAGCGGCATTCGAACCGACGACCTTTGGCTAAATACGCCGCTGCTCTACCACTTGAGCTGTCGGGACTTCGATCCTCTCGGACACCAACTTCCCATCTCAACCTACCTTTCGAATTTTCCCTCTTTTTTGCCATTTTTCAAATGTCGTGTAATCAGGATTCGATTCTCGGCGACAAATGAAATGGCCACGGAGAGCTTTCGTAAAGATACACTTCGAAAGGTAGGTTGAGATGGGATGTTGGTGTCCCAGTGGATCGAAGACACGATAACTCAAGTTAGAGCAGCGGCGTATTTAGCCGAAGGTCGTGGGTTCGAATCCCGCTCGTGACACTAGCTTTTTAATTGAAAGAAGTCATTTGGTCAATCGGACTATGAAATATAATTGGGTTGGTTTGAATGTTCAGCCTATACTTCAAGGATCTTCCTCATTCATCCTCGACATTGTCTGCTTGTTGTTGTACTCGACTCGACTTTTTTGATTAAGTAACCTGACACAGATGAGTTTGAACATAAGTATAATAAAGGAGTTACGTGTCTTTGTATAGATCGGACGACCCAGAGGTGATCGTTAATTACCAACCGGGTCAAATTGCTGAAAGGATTTCAACAATTCTTCCTAGTGCGTTCTGACAAAAGACTTTTTATCGACTATTTTTAACAATAGACAACTGGTGATTTTAAATTTGGAAAAGTTTAGAATTTAGAAAATTAACTATAATAAACCCAATTAAGAAAAAATCATACAAATCCCACTGTACCCCATACTCATATAGATCAATAAGCCTCCTTCTTAATTTATCCAAAATCTTTGGAGTCTCCTTCTTAAAATACTAATTCCCATAAACGACACTGAAAACTTTGGATTCCAATCCCTCCAATGTTCAGCAGTGCTTCAGAGTAGTCGACACCATATCTTCGGTTTTTGAAAACAAACAATATTGCTCAGCAGTATTTCCGGACCCCCGGTCTTCTTATAAGTTAAAACTTATTCTCCCTCACACCTACTATCTCATCCTGAAGTCTTTCCTCTCGGATCGAATGGTTTAAAGTGAGAATCGGCACCGATTTTTTCACCATCACACAACCGAAACCAACGTGCAAGCCACTGCTCTGCAGGTCCATCTGCACCATCTACACTGCTGTCATATCTACACATCCATACACACAATTAACTGTGTGGATTATCTACACACTTCATTCCTTTCCTAGGCACAGAAGCAATCCAGCAACATCTGAACCTCATTGAATTTTTGGAAAAGATAGTCCTTTTCAAAGTCTGTTTTAAGCATCTATCCGGATTTCTTGTATTAAAATCACCGTCAGGTTGAAGATTACAAATCTGATTACAAATTACAAATAATCAAAAATTGTAATATTCCGCCTGATGAGTATTTGATACTTGAAATCCGTATAGCTTCTTAAAACAGTCTGTGAGTAGAACTATTTTTACAAAAAGTGATGCCGAACACAACTGACAAACTGAAAGATCGGAAGACCAGAATGGTCGGAAAGAACACAGATCCATCACCCCTCAAGAAGAAATCTTAAAATTCCTGAAATTTATTTACGATCTTTCAATAAATTTAGTTAACAAATTCGAACATGCTGTAGCTTTGTGCACAGCCGATAGACCAAAAATGATCATCTCTGGAGATGGTTCTAAAAGATTTGATCATAAAATTTTCTAATCCATTCCTCAAGGGCAAAAGTTCAGTGAATGCAGCTTTTAAGCTCCGGTGATATCAATTTTTTTTTTTCAACTTGATAATCGTTGTCAGACTACAAAAATATATAAAGTTGACATTTTATGTCTTTCAAAAAATTTTTTATATAATTAGGCCGGGCAATGGATCGAGTTATAATTTTTTTTCGATATAATTTTTAATTGTGCCCTAGGATAATGTATTTTAAAAAACAATGTCACTTGAAAAATCCCTAAACAAATTTGTTTCTTTGGATAAAAGCGACCTAAAATTTAAAAAAGCACCCTAGTCTTCCAAATTTTTGTAAAAAGAGTTAATTTTTTTTTCTTGAGACCAGGCTGAAGTTTTCGACTTCTTTTCTTTTAATTTTTCTCCTGGCCGGATGTACTTACTGTTTTTGAGTGTTGTTAGCGTGTCGGGTCGGGAGATGTTAGTGGCATGCAACCCCGAGCTGGACTGAAAACTTCCACCTGTTGTCCCCGAGCAGACGCACAACCGGGGGTGGAGCCAGCCGCCTTCGACGACCACTGCAAAAGATTTATATCGGCCTTCTTACTTCATTGCACCCCTTCTTCAAACTTTTATTATACCGAGGTGTTTATTTTCCTCAAATGGCCCATTTTCTCTCGACAAGAAGGACTCCGGTATTGTGTACTTTTTTGACGACGAGAGAACTTAAGACGTGGTAAAATATTCTTTAGAAGCTGCAACATTGCGAAATATCTTGTGAATTTCGGTAAGAGTTTTGACGTCGAAATGCTTAAAAGGGGCCGGACAGACAAAATCAGCAAGGAGAATTGAGAGACCGGCAGGATGAGAAACGATCGACCTACAAAATAAGAAGTTTCGTAATTGCCGATCATTTTTATCTTTCTACCTTTGCTGTTTTACTCGGTTCGACTAGTCGCATTCTTCGGCGTTTTATCTATGTGAAATCAGATGAAAAACCGAAACGCGCCTAACATCGAGGATAAGCTCCTCAAACACCATCACCCCGCAGTTCCAAAGAGGAAACCTCTCAATTACAAAATAAGCACCCGTAATGAGTAAGCTAGGAAGCGATGTTGTGCTCCCCAGGCACTGCAGCCTTCAGGCTTATTGTACCTTCCTACTTCCTTAGTTCCGTGCAGTTGAGTCAATCCAGTCCTTTTAAAAAGACAGTTCCTACTCGCAGTAAGTCGTTTTCCAACTTACAGGAGGCAAAGAAGGGCTTGCCATATGAAGCAGCCCCGTCTTATAAATGGAGTCCTGAAAAATTCATTTCACAGTTCGAAGAAATCAACTTTGGCTAGACCGTATTCTGAAGGCTGTTTGTACGAAGGCAGAGACTCGAAGACAGAAAATTAATACTGGTATGTCAGACCGACTATTGTCTCTTGATGTTTTTTTCAATAGTTTTATTTTTAGAGTCACTTGGAGGAAATGAAACGAAAAACGTACAAAACCAAGGAGGCTTGTAGCAAGGGACCCAGCCACAAAGACGTCGTTGCCGAACAACCGAAGGCCCCCTAAAAAGCATCTTTTGACCAAAGAATCAACGGCCATTTCCTAAAGCCATTGAAAAGTCGGCTGTTCTTGATGGATGGGAAAGAATTCCTCAACTTTTTACCAGAAAATGTTTTTCAAGGAATGCAAAGGCGTATAACAGACGTGATTCTTGCCAAAGGTGGAAATACTCCATATTAAAGATTAAAGATGACAAAAAGCTTTTTTTATGTTCTTATTTTTTTTATTTTGGGCTTTAATCAATAATTGATTTTTAGAATTAGGCAATAAATGTGTGGTGATTAGTGACCGTTAATTGATATTTATTTAGAAATCGTGAGATGCAGTCTGGTGTGATGTAGGTTTCAGAAAAACATTTTCTTTATCGTGCCAACGTTTCGATCTTTATTGAGATCATCTTCAGGGCCTNCTAATTAAATGTAATTGATCTGTACTACAAGATTGATCCATGTCAATCCCAAGCTCTGAAGATGATCTCAATAAAGATCGAAACGTTGGCACGATAAAGAAAATGTTTTTCTGAACCCTACATCACACCAGACCGCATCTCACGATTTCTAAATAAAAATTAGGCAATAAACTTTTTCTTTTTAAATGTGTTATTTTTACTTAAATACTCGGTTTTAATGGGGACAAAAAGTTTTTTTTAACTTTATTTTCTTTTATTATTTTTGTGCTTTACTCAATAATTTCTTTTAGAATTAGGTAATAAACATGTTATTTTTAAATGTCTTATTTCTATTTAAATGCTCGGTTTTAATGGAGACAAAAAACTTTTTTTTTTTAATTTTTTTTTAAAATTATTTTTTGTGCTTTACTCAATAACTGTTTTTTAGAATTAGGTTATAACATTTTCTTTTTAAAAGTCTTATTTTTACTTAAATACTCGGTTTTAATGGGGACAAAATACTTATTTTTTTAACTTTATTTTATTTTTATTATTTTTTTGTCCCTTGTTTTGTAGAATTAGACAATAAACATTTTGTTTTTAAATGTCTTATTTTTACTTAAATACTTGGTTTTAATGGGGACAAAAAGGTTTTTTTTTAATTTATTTTCTTTTTATTATTATTTTTTGTTCCTTGTATTTTCGAATTAGTCAATAAACATTTTCTTTTCAAATGTCTTATTTTTCCAACCGAGCCTATTGTTAGTATGCAAAATATGAATTAACCTAAATACATTAAAATTTAAGGGCGGTGTGTTAATTTTCTCCATCTGTTTATTTCACCAAAAATATTTATGGGCACTAAAGGGTTAAACGTTTTCCATAAACACCTTAAATAAATTTTTAACATGCAATAAATAATTAGACAATGAAAACCCCCTTCTGTAAAGGTAAGGTTTTTAATTTAATAATAATGTATTTAATAATAACAAATATAATAATAATAAAAGAAAAAAGAAGAGTTCAATAAAACAATAATAACAATAAAATAATAATATAACAAAACATAATGAATAATAACAACAAAATATCGATAAAAGAATAATAACAAAAATTGTTAAAAATGTATGACATCAATTAATTATACATGAGTAACGAGACTCTTATTAAACTTAATTGGGCCAAAAACGCAAAGAAAATTATTGTAATCACATTTTCGTCAAGTAAGAGGGGTAATTGATTCGTTAGGATAATGTAAACATGTAATGGAAAATGAGTTAAGAAGCGAACTGCAAATTCCAGTTTACCATTAAAGTAATTGAATTACGGGTTATTATTTCGCCAACAAATCCCTTTGCGTAATTCTATTAGCGTGGGTACGTGCTACTAAATGTCTTTTCTACAGAAAAGGAGTTCCAGAGTTTCTGCGGTCACTCCCGGGATTATCCTGGTTTACGACTACTTGGGAGGGGGCGTTTTCATGGAAAGCTTTATGAGGAAATAAAACGAATTTTCCCATCTGCTTAATTTTATAAAATTGTCTTGCTTAGCCGGAAAGATACATTAAATTCAGTTAGGGCGGCTGATAAATCGCGATTGATACGGCAGAGTGTTGCGCGTACTAGAGTACGAAAATGGATATCGTCGAGACAAGTTGTGTCGCTTTCAGTTTTCAGAAAAAGAAAAGAAAACGGGGAAGAAAATACTGGTTGCAACCCATCAGTAGCCCGAGAACAACCAATACATCTTAATTCTATGGAACACCCTGAGACATTTTTCGGATGCTATAGTGTAGTACTAGTATAGTGCTGGTAGTTTAGTTCAATTACTTGGACAATTACACTTTTTATTAAAAAGAAACGAAAAGAGACAACAGCCACTGAACACAGCAGCTTTGAACTTCAGCACAGGTGAACTTCTCTACTCGAAATGTATGCTGCCGCAGGTGTACGCAAGGTCATGCATATCTGTGATTACCAATTCGATACGTGACAACCTCTTGAAAAATAGAGCTCGTTGCATGTTTTCTAGTCGCGAATGCGTTGAATCTCATTGAATGCTGTATGTTCTTTTTACACGACTAAACAATCGCGCGACTGAAAATCGCAGTACGTAAGCATTTAAACTCGCGTCTAAGCCCGATCTCTGTAAATCGATTTCCTGGTCGATTTTCCGTACGTTAAGTACAGACTTTTTTTTAAACGAGGGTTCGCAACAGCAGAGGTCATATAAAACCTCAGGGTGCCGGTGTTAGGGCCGCTGGATTCGAACCCGGGACCTTTACCTTACAGTGATGAGCGCCGTGTCAACGCCCAAACCGTAGCGGCCACGACGCCCCCAACAGAATTATTCTCAGGGGTATGGTATATAGGTTGGTACAGCATAGTTTTAGATACCATAAGATATTTTCTACATATTGCAGAGCAGTTGCATGTCTCTGGTTCTTCTAAATCTATATTGGTTATCTGTTGACATTCTCATTTTTATAAGGTAGTTTCTTACTAGAGCATATCCCGTAAATATAGATAAATATTGAGTTTTTAATTTCTTTCTACTGAGTTTTCCTCTTTCCCCCATGATGTAGGTTTTGCGAGTTTTTGCTTGCCTCATTGCCTCGCTTATATGCCCAGTATTCGTTGGGTTCTTTAGTTAACCAAGATTTCAGTTCTTTTTTAATGTGGAGTTTATGCCATGATGTTTATACCGAGGATGCATTTTTAGCTTTCATGACCTACCTCCGCATTATTTGTAAAGTAGGGTATTTAGGCAGTTCCAGATTGTGAGTTGTTCTTGTAAGCTTAGATAGCTTTTTGAGCTCATGGTTATATAATATTATTATTGCGGCATGCTTGAGATGTTTTTTTAGCTAGCAATTCGGCTTCGGAAAGATGGTGGAAGAATCAAGGACTATGAAGTGCTCATCGACCCCTGAATCCGTACCATAGAAGGTTTGACTTCTATGGTATATACTAAATGACTTATACGGTATTTGAATTATTGTTTAGGTAAATTCAAAAAGCTTTTAGTTCTTTCTTTCTATTTTCTTTATTTATGGAAGACACCTTTCATTCACCTTAAGAGCATCAGCCTTCGTGAAAACAAAACAAAATAGAAATAACACAAAACCGAACTGTTCTTTTTAAACTTTTGAAACTCTTTCAATTTTCGCAGTTTGGAAAGAACAGTTCGTTTCTGTGTTATTTCTATTCTGTTTTGTTTTAACAAAGTATGATGATGCTCACAAGGTGAGTGAAATGCGTCTTCCATAAATAAAGAAAATAAGCTGGAACTAAAAGCTTTTTGAATTAACCTAAATAATAATATATAATAAGGTTCCATCGCAAAGAAGTGCAAACTTTAAAAGATATATTCAGGTTTAACTTATTTTGTTTTATCATTCCATTTAGCTATCTTTTCAGTAATTGTGTTGAATGGTTTTTCTTAGTCAGAGATAATTTTAGACAAGTCATTTATTTTAACTTTGACGAATTTTGGACTTTTTGTAGTAGTCCCTACACCTTTTTCTACTGGAATATGTAACTTACATATAGTGACGTGGGTCTGACTATCGTAAGGTATTACCGTGGGTTCGAATCTCGCTCGAGACACTAATTTTTCCATCTTAACCAAGACTTTAGATAAAAAGTATAATTAAT